GGGGGGGGGGGGGGGGTCCATTATGTTTAGTGTTCTGATATCTGTCGTGTCTCTTGTAGCCATATGCTGATGATCTAAACAATTATGGGCTACAAGTAGTGGATCTGGATAGTCTATACAACATGACTTTTTCTTCAGATAAATCTGGCCTTCAGGTGCTTTTTCTATTTTTATCAACCATTTCGTCTCTTCTGAAGTTGCAAAAAATCACTAGTCTTATGGGCTACAATTTACATTTCAGGTTAGCATCCATGCTATAGGTGACAGAGCTAATGACTTGATATTGGATATGTATGCTTCTGTGGCCTCTGACAAACAAATTAGAGACCGACGATTTAGGGTATATCCAACTGCTCTGGAAATTAATATATTTATCAATCAATTAAAACTCTCTTTGTTGGTTGATTTTATTAGGTCAGTTATTTCTTCAAGGACAAGTAATTTCTAAATATTCAACTATTGCTTCACAGATTGAGCATGCTCAACATTTGGCCCCAGGAACAGTGGCTCGTTTTGGTGAACAATCTGTAGTTGCTTCAGTGCAGGTTATTTTTCAGATGGTTGTTGTACCTCTTTCTTTTCTATTGAGACTAATTCTGTTCATACATATAATAATTTGGAGGATTTGAGCAGTATGCTTTTAATGCACGCCAAAGATTAAACGTCTAGATACTTTGACATTCAAATCTATTTGTAAAATATATGCAAGATGCCAGGACTAATGAGTTATCTACAACTTCCTCTAAGATCATCACTATATTGCTGTTGTTATGTTTTAGAAATCTGAGGCTGCTCTAGGTTTCCAGGAAGCTCTTGATAAATCCGGCGAGCACCTTTCTTGGAACCTTTTTAATTACAAAGATATATTTTAATTAATTATAGGACTAGGATCTCATGCTAAAGCTATAACCAATAGTGGAAGAATTTTTTATATAAGCAATAAAAATTTTCGTAATCATTGGATAAGACCATACCATTAATTTAGGAAAACAAACTGGTTATGTCATTCAAATTCCCTAATCTATTTTCCCAGTAAGTTAAAGCAACGATGGGTCGGGGAGCATTGATCTCAATCAAAATTAGAGACTTCTGTCAATTCTCTAACCTATTAATGTAGTCCAATTTGACCAGCTATTTCAAAATCAGAGTACAAACATCTTTCTTCTGCAATGGAAGATTCTTGGAGGATGTAGATTGTATTGCATCGATTTCTGATCATAATCTCAAGCCATCGTTGGATCTTGTGAAATGAGAGTTCACTCGAAAAATCCATGTCTCTCTTAATGTAAAGTCTTGACTCGAACGTAAGCATCCCTCCAAATTAGTTTTGACTTTAAATTGGAAAACTATGTAGGGTGATATCTTCAATCATTTTCATTTTTGGCCTGCAGGCGATGTTTTTCCCTTGACATTTTCTTGCAATATTCTTGCCACACGCTCTTCCCACAGTTTCCATTTTTTTTCGGCATTGAGCTTGTCATATCAATTTCTAAGTTTTTCAAGATGTCTCAACATAAAATTGTATAACAAAATGCAAATCATAACAGCCAGATCACTTATTGGATGATGCTGATTCTGCATCTAAAAAACTTGGGTGTGAAAGGGCTGAAAGAGGATCTTATCTATTCAAGTCACTCTTGACTAAGAATGCACAATTGGCATTTGGCTCGGATTGGCCGGTATGTGATTTCTGGATTTCATCTCTTTATGTTTCTGTCAGTACTCGATTTCCTGTTAATTCTTTTGTCATGTGTTTCTTTTGCTGTCTTTTTCAGGTAGCAGATATTAATCCTTTGAAAAGCATTAGGACATCGATGAAGAGAGTACCTCCTGGTTGGGAAAAGGCTTGGATTCCATCAGAGTGCTTGTGTCTCAAAGATGCATTAAATGCGTAAGTCACGCTATTGTTCTGTTTGACTCATTGATTGTTTCAGTAGTCCGTTCTTATCTACTCATTATGTAGCAAATCCACGGTGTTTTCTGTGTGAACCTGGAACTCTTTCAAGTGGTAGTTGACCAGTGAGAAGCGATATTTACTGATCAACAGGGGGAAAATCAACATCATAGTAAACTATACTAATCTGCTGCTATTTGTTCAGCTCTCTAGTCCATCTGAATTCAGCTTGATGATTAAAATGATTAATTGTAACAATAAGTTACAGCTAAGGTCTCATTTCATAATAATTACATTGTGATAAGATATATATCTTCTTAGAAGATACAGTAGTCGGTTAAGCCAATGCCACATGCTCGACTAAGTCATTTGTTGAATTGTTACGTCGAAATGCAAAATGCAAAATGCAATTCATTCTTTGCACCCAAGAGTGTGACCTATTGGTCAGTATTCAATAAAATGAGTTCAAACCTTGGAGACCAAGGTTCAAATGCCAGCGGAGTCAAAAAAAAAACCAAGTGGTTTTTCCTATCGGCCTAAGCCTTGGTGAGTACAGTTACCCGATACTTGTACTGGTGGGAGGTACTAGGCACCCAGTTGAATAGTCAAGGTACATCCAAGCTTGCCAAATACCACCAGTTCATTTACCATTTCCTTCCCCAAGTTAATATTCTAATATCCTGGCACGTTTCCCAATATCTCTTATTTTGTCTTATCTTCATCTGGTGACCTAAGTCAGCGTAACAGAAATAACTTGTATCCGTCATGTGGTTTATTCTAATTCCGTGAGTTTTTTCCCCTTAAAAGTATGTCTTTAAAATTCAGTTATCTATCCTAGCTTATTTTTCTCTGGCAGGTACACCATTTCGGCTGCTCATGCTTGTTTTCTTGATAAATATGTTGGATCATTGTCTCCGGGAAAATATGCGGATTTTGTCGTTTTGTCAACTAACTCATGGGAAGACTTTGCAACTGAAGTTTTTGCTAATGTTGAGGCAACATATGTTGGTGGCTTCAAGGCTTACTCCATAAGACCTGAGGATAAAAGTGAATAGAACAGGGATATGATAATTATGCTTAAAGGAACACATAAAATGGAAGCCATTGTGCCAGCCAAGAAGCACGATATGCTATTTATTGAACTTGGCTTCGCTTTTATTACGAGTCCTAAAACTGTTAGTAGACAGGAGTGTGAATTTGATTTGTGAATATTCTGTGGCTTTTATGTAATGAAAGCGAATGTTTTTCCTTTTCAACTCTTGCGTAAGTGCTTCTGGAATCATAAGTGGTAGTGTTGCAAAATTTTCAAGAATGTTTATGATATGAACGGACGTGATAAGTATGTCGATGCCCATTGAGTGGCATTTATGTATTGTGTGCGATGAGGCTCAGAGTGCGCAATTTAAGAGCTTGTTGGGAAAGCCACTTAGGAGTTAGATTCGGATGTAATTGAGTGTAATTATACATTTTGGTATGTTTGTCTGGCCGAGTAATTACTTGGTCAACATAGAATTGTAGAGATGGCGTGGGGTAGCCACTATTTAAGGTGGTATTTATTTTTTATCCAACAATTCTGTTAGTTTATATGAATCCACCGAATTATAGAGTATCTGGTGCTCTATGAGTTTCCACTGAGAATACTAATTAAACAGTAAGTAAATGAGACACGGGATTTTAACGTGGAAAAATCCTAATTCAAGGGGACAAAAACCACGACCTACACTTGTAAGCTTTCAACTTCACTAACTTGTAAATACACTATTACAAGCCACTTTGTAATGACTATATTACAAAGACTTCAACTCAACTAACTTGTGATACACTTATCACTAGCCACTTTGTCACTCACTAGTTACAAAGACTTTAACTTATGACTAACTCAAGGCGCAACACAAACTCAGAAAGTTTATGATTTTGAGTTTCCTAAAACAAAGCTTCTAAGAAAGCAAGATAGGAATTACAATGAAGAACAAACAGCAAGATTACAACTCAACTACGGATACACATAGACTCATTGTGGAACTGATCCTTAGTGGAGTTGTCTTCTTGTTCTTGCAACAGTTGTGACTTCAATGCTGGATCAGATCTTTAATTGCTTGAGAGAATATCACTAAATGCTCAAGTGAATATCTTGTGCCTTGCACCATGTTGTTATACTACCAAAGACATCCCAAGGATGATGTCAAAATCTTGGTTGGTGCACGCCTCTTCCCAATGGGAAGAGACTGCTGCACTGTCGCATGTATAGTTGTAGACAGTTACTTTCTGCAGTTGCTTTCCAGATGTATAGTTGACTTGTACTTCTATCAGAGAACATCTAGGGATCAGGTCCTAGTCTTGTTCCTCTTTTCTCTTTATTTGCAGCAGTTCACATTAGCTGGAGTTCAGGCTGGACTTCGTTCTTTTGTAATGTGTACCAAGTGTGTCAGGTTCCCTATCTGGTTCTTAACAGTAAGTTTGTTAGATCATCAAAACATAAGGCAAAGACATTGAAAACCAATCAATTTCCCCTTTTTTGATGATGACAAACTTAGACATTGATAACATTTATTTAGAGCAGAAATAACCAGGTGGGATAACAGGAACTTCACAAGTTCCCCCTGACTTTTTGCTTCCCCCTTAATCAGATCCCCTGACGTCATTTCCATTCCATTATACTATACTTCCCGCTTTTGGCATCATTAAAAATACACAAGCAGGCAAACAACATAATGAAGTCTAACATAACCAACTCATGCCACATAGGTGCACACAACATGACAGAAAAGAGAAGCAAAAGGAAAACAACATTGTACAAGCAAAAAGAAGAGCTGTTTCATTGATATGAAAGTGGACTGATTAAACAGGAGCAGTAACAGTGAAATCCAACATGCCATCACAAAAAAAACAAACAAAAAGAAAAACAACAGCCACAAAACATTATAACAGAAGACAACTGGTCACTGAGAGGTTTCTAAGGGGCAGCAGAAGAGGGAGACTTGGAGAAGGAGGCAGCAAGGGTTTTGAGAACCAAGTCCATACGGGCATTTGCAGACAGCTGCTCTTCAAGCAGTTTTACGCGAAGCTCATCATTTTCCTTGACCAAGCGAGAAACTTCTTCATTGGTGGAATTAACAGAACCATGTGCCCCAACAGCTTGACTAAGCTGAGTTTCCAGTATGACATTCTGAGCCCTCAACCTCCTGATCTCTTTGGTAGCAACATTTTGAGCATTGATCAGCTGAGAAATGGTCGAGGTACTTCCACCAAACTTTTCTACACACTCACATTCTTCCAGAGTGGTTTTGGAGAAGGTTTGCTTGCGGGTGCCCACTTTGGGATTAGCCAAAGTGATAGTTTGTATGGGTCTACCAAGTGTTAGAGTACTTGGTCCTCTTCAAGTTTCTGCTGAGAGCACTTAGTAAAGCAGTAAGTAAATGAGGCAGAGGATTTTTACGTGGAAAAATCCCACACAAGGGGATCAAAAAACCATGACCTACACCTGTAGGCTTTTAACTTTACTAACTTGTAATCTTACCTATTACAAGCCACTTTACAATACTTCCAATTGCAAAGGATTTACTCAACTAACTTGTGGTACCTTTACCACAAGCCACTTTGTGACTATCCTAGTTACAAAGGCTTTTTCTAACTTGTGGTGCTATCACCCCAAGCTACTTTGCAACACTACGATTACAAAGACTTTTCTTTATGACTAAATCTAGCCACAACCTAAAATCAGTGAGTTTGAGGATTTATAAGAGGACTCCTAATCAGTATGCTTCTAAGTAAGTGATTTATGAGATATAGTAAGTACAACAACAAGGTTACAACTCAATTAGGATAACAACAATCAATCTTTTAAGAACTGGTCCATAGTAGCGTTCAACCTTATTCTTCAAGCTTGAGAGGATGATGAGTTTTCTATTTTTGCAAAAGCTTGAATGAGAAACAGAAACCTTCCAGTGATGTCTTTGTATGAAGCTTCATCGGGTACATCTTGATCACATCACTTAAGGTGATGTGAGTGCTTTGTTTGGTCAAAGAGTGAATGGGTTGACAATGTATTACAGTGCGGCAGAAATAGTGCCGTCAGTCACTTCAGTTCCAGTTGTGTCCACATGACTTTGTACTACTACATAGGAACCATAGGAGCACCAGGTCCTTGATTGGTTCCTAGCTCCTGAATCTGTAGCAGTTCATCCTTAGCTAGAATTCGTTTAAGTTTGCAGCAATCTAAGTAGGTCAGGTTCCCTATCTGGTTCTTATCAGTAAGTTTGTTAGATCATCAAAACACAAGGCAAGAGTATTTAAGATCTATCAATTTTCCCATTTTTGATGATGACAAACTTAAACAGTTATAAGATCAGAATTAAGGTAGCAGAGAGCAGTGTCAAAGAGTTCCCCCTGAGACGATGCCTTAATATTTTTTCAATCAATTTATATATAAAGAACCAGTTCCCCAATGTGATTCCCCCTGAGTCCATATTAATCTTTTTTACCCTTTTGGCATCATTAAAAAGAATAAAAGCACAAAAAAGTCCAGCCAAGCTAACTCATACCACATATGTGCACACTAGCATGAGAAAGAACAGAACGCAAAGAGAAAGTAATAGACAAAATAAAAGAGGATTTAGATTAATAATAGTTTCATATGCCCCTTCCTTTGAAAAAGAAAGAGGCAACATTTGGACTTGATCACAAGAGAAGTAGTAGTAATACATCCCAACCACAACAAAAGAAACAACAAAAAAATAGCCACCAATCATCAACAGAAAAAAAGAACATATCCAGATAACTGGTCACTGAGGGGAAACTTAGGGGCACTAGGAGGAAAAGGCTTGGAAGCAGCGACAAGTATCTAGAGAACAAGGTCTATTCGGGCATTTCCCAACTTTTGCTTATTGAGCAGTTCGGCTTTCAGGTTCTCAACTTGCGCCCTAAGGTCAACATTTTCTTGAGTTAAATGGATCACCTCATCATTCAACATGGGAACCGATCGAGATTGCTGGCCTTCTAGGATGGCATTCTTGGCCTTCAGTCGACGTATCTCCTCAACTGCACTGTTTTGGGCATTGATGAGCTGAGACACAGTTGAAGTGCTTCCTACACCCCCATACTTCTCAATACACTCGCACTCTTCCAAGGTTGTCTGTGAGAATGTTTGCTTGCGGGTCCCTACTTTACCTGTTCCCAGCGGAACCTCAAAGTATTTGAACACTTGCGTGAGCAATAATCCATAGGGAAGCCCGTGATTGCCATCCTTGAAATCAGCCACTTTCTGCATGTGCTCAATCATTATGGTAGGCAGACTCACAAGGTTGAAACCTTCCAATTGCTCCATTAAGAATAAATCAGATTTGGAAGTGATAGATCTCCTTTCTGCTCGAGGCAACATGACTTTGTTCACCAGTTCAAACAACAACTAGCAGACGGGAAGCAGTGCTTTCTTATGAACCTGCTCCCCCTTCTGATTAGAGTTATCTTTCACGAGTGCATTTCGGAAGTTGTATTGACAAACATCTCTCACACTAGACACCCCAACAGTAGGAACCTGCAGAATTTCCCCAAGTAATTTCACATCAAAGACAATATCCACCCCATTTACTAAAGCACACACATGGTCAGTATCCACTGGAAAGAGACTGGCGAAGAAGCTCTTGACCTCCTCCTCATACACTTTAGGAGCGTCAATGTAGAACAGATGCATCCATTGCAAAACTCCACCATTTCTAGAAGCTGACGCATTCCTACCATTTCAGAGATTGTTGGGTCAAACATGCGACCCAGCAAAACCTTTTGATGCCTTAGTCGCTCAGATCCAAGGCAAACGTCACTTTTGGCTTTCTTCCCAGAACTAGGTTCTTCAACTGTTTCCTATTTGGGTTTCCTATGCTTTTCTCCACTAACTTTACCTTTCCCCTTGGACTTGACAAGAATATCTTCATCACTCACTGCCTCCTTTGTCTTGGTCTTGGAAGTAGATCCTTTTTCTATGGAGACAGACTCAACCTTTATCGAGGACCTCCTAACAAGGGAACCAGGTTCCTCAGGGGTTCCTTCCTCTACCACAACGAGAGGGATAGCTTCATCACTTACAGGGACACCATTTTTTTACCAACTTTCTCCTTTTCTTTTTACTACTTTTCTTGCTCTTTTGAAGTGCAGAATCGTAGGCTGCTTTGACTTGAAGCCTGGTATTAGGCCGCTTACTTTTAGACTCAGGAGTGGTAACAACCCTGCATTGACTCAAGAATGCATCTAGGGCCACATTGTC